TTGCCTATTCTTGGATGTAAGGGCCTTTCTCTTCTACCAGGACTTTTGTAATTTCAAAAAGTACTATTGTTGTGGACATTTTTTACTTTTCTCCTGGTGCACGTGAACAAGTTCCTGTGGAGTGTACACTGAGAGGTAGAATTGCTGTATCACAGGGGTGTGCATCTTTAACTTCATTAGACAATGCATTAGACAATGATACATTGTTTTGCAAACTACATGCATTAATTTGTACCAAGGTATTTATTTGTTCTCTCACTAGCAATAGAAGAGTTCCTATTCTTCAACATTTTCTCCAACACTTAGTGGTGTCAGAGCTTTTTAATTTTGCTGATTTATATAAAATAATATTTATTGAGATTTTAATTTTTTGTTTCAGAATATTATTGAACGTGAACATCTTTTACACGTATTTATTCAAATTTTATCTTCTGTTAAATACTTATTTCTTTTGTCCATTTTTCTATTGGTTTGTTTGCCTTTCTCTTGTTTTTAGAAGTTCTCTTTACTGGTTACATGTGTTGTGAGTGTCTCTTTCCATTTGTCTTTTTAAGTGTTCAATGTCTTTTCCATGATCAAAAGTTTTTCATTTTACTGGTCAGTCTTTCCTTTATGGGTTCTTTTATGGTTTGTTTATGAAATATTTTCCTATATCAAGATCTTAAAACTCTTCCATTAGAAACATATAATTATTTTCTTCTCATAAGGATAAAGTTTGTGTTGCACATTTTGTCAGGGGTTGAGTTTTTCTAAGTTGTGAGGTGAGGATTAACTTTTGTTTTCCCCAGGTTGACAGTCACTGTCTCAAGACCAGTTGTTGAATATTTTAACCTTTTGCTGTTGATTTCTGTGCTACTTCTTGCCGTATTACATCCTCCTTGAGATTGCTTTTTCTGTTTCATTGATCTGCCCTTCCCACCCCCAACCCCCAAGTAGTTTTCTTTAACAAAGTACAGTACATGCTTCAGATGCCTGTGATTTGCAATATATATGTAAAGGTGCCACAAATACTGCATTAGTGAATCTGAAACCATTGCTCCTGAGGGAAATACAGAGTTAGGTTCCTGCCCGCCTTGGTCACATTTTCAACTTACCAGTACATAACTTTGTTTTATATATGTTTCTGTTTAAAGACACCTTGTTTGATATCTATTGTTAATTCATTAACTTTGAATTTTAAGTGAGTGGCGTTATAACTCATGCCCAAATAAATCTCATTTAACATGTGTTTTCTCCATAAGTCTCATCACAGCCTTCTTGTGCTTAGGGACACCAGACAGCACTTCAGCACTGTATTTGGAGCCATTTTCAATAGTGAAATAACCTCAAAAAAAAAGCACAAAAACATGGCACTAACTATGTCATGAGAAGGACACTTGTTTACAGCTTGTGGGCTGAGACTAGAAGGCAGAAGGCCACCTGCTTCTGTCTCAGCTGGACACGTGCACATGAGGTCACTCAGGTTCTGTGTTGTTTTGTGAGTATTTGCAAACGACTCCAAGTTCTGAAGTGAAAATGTGCAAATACTGATTTTTGGATTGCAACACATTTTAGTGAGTAGGCGAATTTGCAAATAAGGAATCCACTAATAAGGAGGCTCGACTTGACTATGGGAACTTGAGAGAGAGAGTTCTTCAGGAAACCTCAAGCTTGCGCACTTGCCCTTCCCATTCATGTTTACATATGCTTTATAATATTTTATTTTTCAGAGTAGTTTATTGCAGTGAATCTCTCAGATACTAAGTTCTTATTGACAGATGCTATTAACTTAAACAGGAAACTTTTTTTTTTGAGAATATTTTTCTATATTTATAATCATGATATACTTAGTTCATAGGTAAATGAGCAAAGAATTTTAGGAAAGAATTACAACATTAAAATGTTAGAAGCAAGTCTAAATTATTAATCCCTGATTCTGACTCATCATGGTCATATCCTCTCATAGATACTATTAATAACATAAAGCATAAGTTTTGTAAAGGGAAGTGCCTTTTCGAGATTGTGATTTAAATGTTAATTCTAGTTTCTCATCCATTACTGATATTTCTCCACATGAACATAACAAATGTACATTTTTACCACTTTTTAAAAAAGCTTTTTTATTTATTTTTAGAGAGAGCAAAGGAGAGGAAGAGAGAAAGAGAAACATTGATATGACAGCGAAACATCAATTGGTTGCTTCCTGCTCCTTCTACCGGGATTGAGCCCGCAACCCAGGCATGTGCCCTGACTGAGAACTGAACTGGCCACCTTACAATGCACGGGACAGTGCCCAACCCGCTGAGCCACACTGGCCAGGGCCCATTTGTGCCATTTTTACGTGTACAGTTCAGTGGTATGAAGTATATTCACATTGCTGTGCAGCCATCTATCTCCAGAATTTTTCATATTCCCAGACTGAAACTCTCTACCCACTAATCAATAACTCCATATTCCCACTCTTCCCAGCCCACAATCCTACTTTCTGTCTCTATGAGTTTTGTTACTCTGATAGTTCATGTGTGTTCATATTAGTGGGGTCATACAGTATTTGTCCTTTGTGTCTGGTGTATTTCTTTCAGCATTGTCTTCAAGATTCATCCTTGTCAGCATGTGTTGGATTCCTTTTCAAAGCTGAATAATATTTTATGTATGTACATAGTGCATTTTGTTTGTTTATTCATTCATATGTGCATGGATGGGTTGTTTCCATCTTTTGACTATTGTGAATAATGCTGTTATGAACACTGGTGTACAAATATCTACTCAAGTCAAGTCTGCTCAGCTCTTTTTGTATGTACTCAGAAGTAGGATTGCTGGATCATGTGGTAAGTCTGTTTAATTTTTTGAGGAATGGCCATAACAATGGCAGTTATACCATGTTATGTTCTCACCAGTGATGCACATATATCAGTCTGTAGTTAACTGAAGTGCCCATTGTTCTGAAGTGTGGGATACATTATTAACTTTTGCATATGAAATGCATGATATGGATGCCAAAGTCATATATTCAGTATTAAAAATGCATGATATGGATGCTAAAGTCATATATTCAGTATATATTCAGTGGCTGAAGGTTTTGCAGAAGAATTGAGCTTGTGCTAGGTAGCATGTATTTCTGACTCTGCTATGGATTCATTATTAAATCATTTTATCTGTTATTTTTGGCATCTTCATGGAACGGTAGACAGAAGTGCATATTTGTGATAGATATGGAGCATTTCTGTTCATAAGTACTGTGATCTCAGTATTAATAAACCTGCTTTTCATATTTTATAAAATTCACTTGATACGCATAATCAGAATTAATTAGAAAAGTCATCGATTATCACACTTACTAAGTGCCAATTAAGTGCAAAGTTCCAGGCCATGATTACTACAAAGAAGCATTATGGTATCAATAGTCCTTACTCTCAAGAACTACGCAGTCTGAGGACACGAGGCACACACACGAAAACCTTCCCATGCACCAGTGGTACGCGGCATAGGTGTAGTACATGGGGCGAAAGTGAGAAGATTCCATGCCAATGTGATTGATTAGTTACTCACTGAATATTTTAGGCAATAGATACCACAAGCTCAACTCAGTGGAAAGTATAATTGTAATACTTTCTGAGTTAGACATTGAAGGAAGCAAACAGTTTAGATAGGTGGAGAGGAGAGGGAAAAACTTCCAGCTAAGGAGGAATGATACCATAAATGTCAGACATTTTTACTCCCTCAATCATTAATTGCCATTAATTAATATAGTCCTGGGACCAAAAACAGTGAGACGCAATCTATTTAACAAAAATTGCCAGCCCCTCAGGCCTCCGGTCAGGCCGCCATGCTCGCCGGCGGAGCAGGCTGTGGCGGCGGGAGCGGCAGCAGCAGTGACAGTGCGCTTGCCAGGTGCTCTCGGTGTGCTGGGCACCCCACTCCTCGTCAGCCCTGTGAGCTGGGAGAGGGGCTACCCATCACCCCTTCGAGGGATAAAGCTGCGAAGGCTCGGAGAGCCGAAGGAACGTGCCCGCAGCCAGAGCGGCAGAGTCGGCCCTTCTGGAGCCAGCATTGCTGCCACCAGCAGCACCACCACTGGCCTTGCTTGTGGTGGCACTGAACGCGGAAGGAGCTAGTGATTTCTTTTTCATAACCTGCACACTTTGCCAACTCTGTGGCTGAGTACTGACACTCTGGCGATCCCTGATCATGGCCCTAATGCTTTGTAAACTAGGCAGCGATTCCAGCCTGTGCTGCAGCCATTGTAAAACACGCAGTCCTGACTCTTCAGCCAGGGCCCTGAACGCTTCCCTTTGATTGTCAAATTAAAAAATGACAGCAGCCAATACAACAATAGCTGTCCAGTGTGTTGAATCAAAATTATACCTATTTTTTGTTAGATTGCCATAAAAACAATGTATTACTTGGTGTGCTGCAGAATTTTGGTAATTAGTTTATATGTGTCATGAGATGAAAAAGGTTGAAAATCGCTGGTCTAGAAGGCTGCAGAGTGATGAAGTTGTAGTCTGTTCCCAATAAGACCTTATTTTAACTTAATAGCTTCTGGGGTGGAGACAGTGGAAGCAGTCGGCTCTGAGCACCTGGGTAGTGGATGGCCTGCCTGCGTCTTCACTTGGAGAGAGCCTGCTCATGCAGCCTTCTCTAAGGGAACTGACCCACGCAAGACACTAAGGCGCATTGCTTTTTTGGCAGGAAGGAGAAGTTGAGGATATTTTTTTCCCTTTTGGTGACTAAACTATTCACCTTGGTTTTGTGGTTCAGTTTGACTTAGTTCCAGGAAGTATTTTGGATGTGATGGTTTTTATATATTTTATGTAAGTTGTATTTCTGTGATCTTTGTGTGATGCCATATATTGTTGACATGAAATATTTCTTTTTCAGAGAAGACAGCATGGTTCAGTAGATTAGGGGTGCAAAAAGTATGACTTAGCATGCTGTTTGGCCGCTGAAACCTGGGCAAGTCACCTCCGTTTATAGCCTGTAAACAGAGATAAGTGTCAGTCTGGTTCAGAGGGTGGTTGTGGAAATTACTAGGCTTGTTAAACTCAGTGTGGGAACACTTGGCTTTGGGGGGACATGAATTTGAGAGGAAATAGATCAACTCCGGAATTTTGAGTAAGTGCGACAAGCCTGAGGTTTTCCCGTGCTGAATCTGGGCCTGTAGACGTGGGTGTGTGCAAATTTGGGAAGGAGCTGGGAGGTGTGATGAAGGGAAAGTCTTCCTTGGATGCTGTTGAATTAAAGGTATAGTGAATGTTAAACTTTTCCTGTTGTTCTTGCTGAATGAAAGTTTATGGAAAGTGTTTTCTATATTTTAGAATGCCAAATTTAATAGGGATATAGACACTTGGTTTAAGCCACCATTTCCGGACAATAAGAACCTATGGAAATCAAGAAAGAAATGATTAAAAATATTTTAATATAAAAGTACTTCAGTCTAAATAGTAATATTTGCTTAATTTTTGTCTCCTCTCAAATGCTTTCTCATCAGAATCCTGTAATTCTTGGGCTAGTGCATTTGGCTCAGAAATGCCAAGTGCTGTGTTTACACACAGTGGACCGCAAGCAAGTGGCTTATATCTGCAGATGTGCAGTTGTGGGTCAGAAACTTCATCTCTTTTTTCAACATTACATATGCCCCGTATGCATTATAGTTGTTTACTATAAAATACATACAACTCTGAGGTTTTACTCACTGATAACAGAGTCACAGCTTTAGATATCTTTGGAATAAAGAATTTTAGTTAAATGTTTTAGTATCTGGTACTTTCAGAGAGAAGCAGAGTACTGTGAGGACTGAAGCGGGTAGGAGGAGTAATTCAAGGACTAAGGAGGAGTTTGAATTCACATTTCATTTGGTAATGTTGGATTTTTTTAAAAAATATTCTTGAAAAGTGGATGTGCTACATTGTTACACTAAGTGTGATTTAGTACACAGCTGAGAAAGACTGGAAGGTAGGGGGGCTCACAGCAGGTTATGAATGGTGTGTCATGATAATGGGATTATCAGCTGCACTCAAGTTTTGCACTTTGAATGCATAAATTCATGAATTGGTGAACTATAATTCTATAGAATAGTTCTGAAAATTTATTAGTATTAGTTAATTTTTCTTTCTTTTCATCCCAAGAAGACATCCACCTAAGTATATTACATGATGTTTAGGTAAGGTAACTGAGATAGAATTGCAGGTTTACATACTTTATGATAAACGAAATTAAGAATGAGACTGTCTAGCCTAATTGACTTGGACCGTGTTCCTGAAGTGTTTTTATGGGAGAGAGAGCTGTCATTCATGACTTTAGCTGCAAAAGCTTGTTCATGGACTACTCTACAAATCTTAAAAATGATTCTGTAGAAAATGTTTATTGATAAAGTTTTTCATGAGCTATTTAGGGAAAAGGCAGCTTACAAAACGGTATGTATAAAGCAATTTAATCTCTGTGTAAAAAAATATGTGTCTACATAGTACGGAAACATTTTCTGGAAAAATATACACCATAAGGTGCATCCTCAGGCTTGATCTGCTAGGCAAGGCTGTCGACCAGTTTCCAGGTGGCTCTAGATGGCTTCAGGTCGGAGGTTTTGCTAACACTTATTTATGTGCTCTCTTAGTCTATGACGGGGAAGTACGTTTGCTTGAAAACTACATGGTGCTGTAGGTTTTCCAGTTGAACATTTAAAAACTCAGAATGTGCATCACTTGTATTTTGGAAGCAGTTATTTAGAAAACAGCTCCAACCATCCAGCCAGTTACCCAGCCAGAGCTAGGAAAAAGCTTACTAATTAATTCACTTAATCTTTCATGGAGGGAAATAATATATAACACACGTATACTTTCCTAGGGTAATTATGTTTTTGGGGGGATATACTTATTCTGAGGATCAAGAAGATTTTGGAAAAGAAATAAACAAAAGTGTCCCAGCTACCTAAAATGTCCATGAATCTGGCAGGGTTTGGGTATACAATCGGCCCTCGTTTATCGCAGTTAATCAGTTCCAGACTTTACCATGATAAGTGAATTTCCGCGAAGTAGGATTCTTTATTTATACAGTCGTGCTTCACTCTGTCGTGGTTTTTTTCAAATATAGTATAGTATTTGAAATATAGTGTAGTATTTGAAATATAGTGTAGTATTTGAAACATAGTATAGTATTTGAAAAAACCGAGACAGAGTGAAGCCGCCAAAGTTGAAGCGTGAAGTGGCAAGGGGCGACTGTAGTGGGGATCTTACAGCAAAGGAAGCTTTCCTGGATGAGGTTAAAGGTCCACAAAGCAAAAGTTAAATGGACTTTAAAAGTAATAAAAAATACTTGGAAATTGAGAAAGCTAATACTTTTTTTAATGTTTTTACTGATTTTTCAGAGAGAGAAGGAAGAGAAACATTGATCGGCTGCCTCCTGCACGCCCCCTACTGGGGATCGAGCTCACAATCCCGGTTTGTGCCCTGGCCAGAAATCGAACTGGGACCTCTCAGTCCATGGGGATGCTCAGTCCACTGAGCCGCACCGGCTGGGCAAAAGCTAATACTCTTAAGAGAGTCTTTGACAATCTCCAGGATATTTCCCCCCAACAGACTTGTTTTGTTAATATTGACCTGCACCCTCCCCCAAAAAATCACTGATACTTTTTTTTTTTTGTCCTTTTAAAAGAAGAACAAGCTATAAAAACTCTGAACACTGGGTTTTTCTTCATCAGCTGTGCCATCTCTTCTGCTTGCAGCCAAGCTTCTCAAAGGCCTGGTCTGTGCTCACTGTCCCATTCTCATGAGATTTCCCCCACTTGTGGGGACTGAAAATGCCTCCACAAGTGAATCAACTCCTAATTGCCCAGGGGATCTAAAATGCTCACCACTTTGGACCTCTTGATATTCTGCATAGAGATTGGTAACCCCGTCCTTGCACTGTCCGTGGTGATCCATCAAAATTGTTTCTACTCTCGTCTCTATAGGATCAAGTTGAACCTGAGCGACCAGCTGAGTCTTCCATCCACCTGCAGTCAGATATCCTGCCTCCCCTCTCCCCAGCACATATGCTTGGTGGTCCGTGTTTTATGTCTCGTGTGCCTGCTCACAGTCTCTTATTGCCTGTGCCTGAACGGCTCTTCTCCACTGTTAATCCGACTTCATCTTTCAGAATGCCTCAGGGGTCACCTTGATCACACTTCCAAACGTCAGTCACTTCTTATGTTTCGATTCACTGTTTCTGTGCGGCTTATTCGTCATATGTGGTTTCCATGTACTTCTGGGTCGTGGCTTCCTGAGGGCTGAGCTGGGTTCACGTACTCTAACTTCCTAGTGCTCGGCGATGTGGGGCGGCGTCCACTTCCTGTCTGCTGGACGGGACTCAGTAAGACTTGAGGCTTTTGAGAACATTCATATTATGAATACGTGAATGGGAAAATGATTGATAAGGCACAGAAAAGGGAGAGCAAAATTAACTAAATATGTTTGCCCTGTCCATTTTTATTAAACAAGTGGTAAAGAGATGTTTATTTTTAAGTTACTTTGTAAATGAAATAGACACCCAAGTGGAGAAAAATGATTAGAATGAAATGTCATCTGACCAAAGAAAACTACAGGTGAAATCGTGGAGCCTTTGTCCAAAATGTCTAACCTAAGTTTTGTTTTCAAATACTTAGTAGCAAAATGTGAGCAGGCGGCTTTCAGAGTGGTTTTTCCTGCCCATCTCTGAGGAGCCGGTGAGACTGCCTAGTTATACGTAAGCGGGTCCCTGTTGGACGGCTGAGACAGCTACCCCTCTTCTCCACTGCTTTCATGCTGTAAACCTCTCACTGGAGATTTAGCCTCGCCCGAAGCTAATGCATGCTTTGAATGACTGCATTTTATTTTGAGAACTGCCTAGCTACTCACTATTCCAGGACCTTGGGTCCTTCAGGAAGCAGCACTGTCCTTGGTCTGTCTCCCTGGGAGGAGGTGACAGGAGGCCTGAGCCCCCAGAGTGCCTCGGCTCATGTGTGACTCTGTCCCTCTGCCTCCTGGAGCCCTGATGGTCCCAGCGCCACAGCAGTCGGGGCACGGCTCGGGCTCTCTGGATGGAGTGTCTGGCTGAGGTCCATGAACACCGTCACCTGCCAGGTAGAGGGAGCGGCCCCGCAGCCCCGGGCCCTCTCAGCCCCCGCACTCTCCACAGCGGAGGCTTGCTTCCAGGACATGACCTCGTTCCTGTTTTCAGTTGCGTTAAGTTTCATACTAATTTTGACCTAGTCTTTTGCCTGGGGACATAGAGTAAAAATTGTCTGATAGCGATTGAGGGTACTTAGGTGATTGGGAGTTCTGTTCCTATATTAATCTCTTTGGCAGAAGTATACTGAGCACGTTATCGAACAGCTTGCACTGTATCCTGACCTGCTCCAAGCACTTCACAAGAGCACAGTATGGTCAGGATTTGAGGCACAAAGGAGCTGGAATTGTCATATGCGCACTCCGCAACGTGACAGTGGAACCCGCAACATCACCTGGATTCCCAGCTACCTGACTGGGGCACTGGCTTAGAACAGTTTTACAGATGCATGAGCACTGTGCCAGCTGTAGAGGTAGTCAGAGGTAATTTGACACCTGTTTTTTCCCCCAGAAAGTTATAGATTACCCTCCCAACCCCCAAAAACCTTTTCAAAGGCTTTTAAAGATCTTTTTCCATCCCGTATTTCCTCATTTTTCAATCTGTTCGTTTTCAATTTTCTATTCCCACCTACTGTTCCTCCTCAGACTGCCTCAACAGATTTTGAGTAGATTTATATTACTGATTCATTTTGCAATCTTAATGTTCTAATTCAAAACTCATGTCTTAATGTGTCGCTATCTGCATTCCTGGAAAGCATTTTCAATAGAGTGTCCTGGAAAACGACCAGTGACGGCGCCTGGCAGTACTTTTCCGTCTTTGGTGGGGGGAGGAGAAGGAAAAACCCCAGACTGTCTGAAGGAGTTGTCAAGGCTTGGGGCATGAGGAATAACTTCTCTGTGCCCAGGATCACTGGCTTACTAGGACTTATTTTGACTTGAATATGTCTTTAATATTACCATCCCTCAGTTTCTCTCCATTTAGGTTGTGTCTGAGATTATTGCTTTTGAATTGCACAGGTTTGAATTTAAATGGTTCCCAAGCTTCCAGTTAAAAGATGTTATTTAAACACAGGTGACTGGATGAGATGAACCAAAGACTTACATGCATGTATGCATAACCATTGGACGTAGACAACAGTGCTGGGGGGCGGGCGGGATGGGGTGGAGGGAGTCTGGGGTGGGGGGGAGAAACATCTGTAACAAAAATAAATTAATAAAAATTGGAGGAAAAAAAAACCTGAGGAAAATATGAAAAAAATAAATACAGGTGACTGATTTTGACACTGACAGTTCCACTTTTTTTTTTTTTAACTGGCAGTTGTATGGAATATAGCAGTGTAACTTCTCTGACTTTTTGTTAAACATTTCTAAAAACTTTCTTGGCATTTGCTTAAGACAGTCTTTGGTAAAGCTGAGGTGCTCTGGCAATGACATCCACCTGCCCTGAGCTGTGTGGCCGGCGGTGCCGCATGTACATGGGAAAGACCCTCTCGCCCTGAAGCTCCCCGAAAGCCAGGCAGACGCAGAGCAGGTCGCGTGACACTCGGGCTGGGTGGAAGAGCAGACTGGTTGTGCTAAGTCAGGTTGTACCCTTGAGCTCACCGCTGAGGACCTGACAGGGGCAGCCCTGTGTTCTCAAGGTGACTTGTGAATAATTACGAGATGTGCTGTCTAAACTGTACAGGTGAAACTTTGGTTCATTAAGTAGACAAGTGTCTGTACTGGCAGAAAAACATAGAGATCAGGGAACAGAATAGAGAGTCCAGAAATAAACCCATGCCGTTAATCTATAATAAAGGAGGTGAGAATATACAATTTTGTGAAGACAATCTAGTCAATAAATGGTGTCAGAATACTAGACAGATACATGCAAAACAATGAAACTAGACCATTTTCTTTCACCATGTACGAAAACAAACTCAAAATCAATTAAATACTTAAATGTAAAACCTGAAACACAAACTCCTAGAAGAAAATTTCGGCAGTAAACTCTTTGATATGGATCTTAGCAATATTTTTTTTTGTCTTCTTGGGCAAAGGCAGCAAAAGCAAAAATAAACACTCAGGCAAAAAGCATACTCTGACTCTCTTTTAAGGATGATTTCTAGAAGTGACCATAGAATAATTTATTTCTAGTTCATCAACTAGAACTTAGTTATATAATCATTCCTAAAAACAAGTAGTTATGTATACAGTTAAAAATTATTTTACTGTGGAAGAAGAGACAAGTATCAAAGGGTTCGTTCAAACTCTTTGTTCAATCTGATGTTCAATCTGTACCTTCTTGTTTAGTCCTTATTCTTACCACATGGACGCTATGTACCAGCTAAAAGTCTTCTTTTTCCCTGGGTTGGGAATGGTTGCCTCCTCCTCTAAACCACGCAGCACCTTCCGTCGGTGTGATTGGCACAGTGTGATTGAGCTGCACTGCTGCCGTGCCACGGGTGGTCTGGCAGCCCTAGGGCCCGGCACAGCACGCCCTGGGCCATGACCTGTCTCGCGTGTCTGCAGGGCCGAGCTCAATGTCTTACCCATGATTGGTTCTTGATAAATATTTATTATATTAGAAAATAATCTTGATGACTTCTTGGTTTCTTGTAGAATTTTAGGAAAGGAAGATGGATCAGCCTAGTGGAAGGAGTTTTATGCAAGTGTTATGTGAAAAATATAGTCCTGAAAACTTCCCTTACCGCCGTGGTCCTGGGATGGGAGTCCATGTCCCAGCTACACCTCAGGGCTCTCCTATGAAAGGTAAGAAAGTCAGGACCCAAAACATGTATTTGCTGGAGCTTACTTGGGACAGTAAACCAGAATGTTGCCTTGTTTGCAAATGATTTTCTTTACTTTGAATCATGAATCAGTCTTTCTCCCTTGCCGTGATTTCAGTTTTTTGAAAAAAAATGAAAAGACTTGTTTTCTCCTGATTGACCAAAGGGCATTTCAGTTTCACTCATAGGGCAAGAACAATATTTGAGTGATAACATTTCGTATACATTCTTTCGTGGAACTTGGAGGGTGCAAGATACTGCAAAACTGTCCTGTGCCCTCACCAGCCACACGGCCTCACTGAATTACAGGATAGTCACATAGAACACGGGGTAGTTATGTTGAGCCAAATAAATGGCACTGTTATTGGGAGAGAAGTTTAGAAGAGAATTTATTAATATGATCAGAAGAAGGTTCAAAGCTGTGAAACTGGAACTACCCTTCAGGGACAGGGAACGTGGTTGGAGAGGAGACAAGGCATTCCAGCAGAGGAGTCAGGATGTGATCAGAGACCTGCAGCCCGAGGGTGCCTGTTGCAGTTGCAGTTCACGGGTCAGGCTTTGTCATCTGGGGAGCTATCCCTAGGCAGTGTGTGGGCTTCTGTGTCTGGAGGTTACGGAGTATTTGTTATTCCTCAGCACAACTATCCTCACTCCATATAAACTGGAATGACAGAAAGAAGTGGACTTATTGCATTTTTGTCAGGATCCATTCCTGTTCTGAAAAAGTTGATACCAACAAGTACTAAGTTGAAAAATCTTGTAATTTGAGACTTCCATTAATAAATATCACCTTTGTGAGTCCTTGTTTTATACCAAATAGAAAGAGTGGTTGAATCCTCCTGCTCACCCATTTTGTTAGTGGTAGTAGTGATTGTACTGCTGCCTGTAGAATGGAAGTAGTTTAGCAGAGGCTATCTGTGATGGTTTGAGATTATTTTAAATGGCAGCAAGAGGTGAAAATGCATACCAGTCAAGGAGAAAAGAGCTGTCCAGAATGAACTTCTGAACTAAAATTTAAAAAGGAAAGAATGAAGGCCAATAAGAAGACAGTGTAGTCAGACCTGAGTCACATGGACCTGATTTTCAGGCGACAAGATCATGATGGTGTGTGTGATGGATAAACAGTCCTGTGGAGGCAAAGCCCCTGGATGTTGGCTGGTGCTGCTCTGGGACTTCTCATCTCCTGGTTCCTTTCTGAGCCACACGATGGCCTGGTTCATACCTGGCTGTCTCCACTTAGCATTCGGAACCCTCGGATTTCATCAGAGCCTTTTGATTTTGACTCCTGGGTGCTGAACGCACATAGACAAGAATCAGGCTGATATAGAAAGTATTTTGTTCCCCCCACTATTCAGATCGCCTCAACCTCCCAAGTGTCCTGGTGTTGAACAGCTGTGGGATCACCTGTGCAGGGGATGAAACAGAAATTGCGGCCTTCTGTGCTCATGTGTCGGAACTAGATCTCTCTGACAACAAACTAGAAGACTGGCATGAGGTAAAGTTTTTATGTAGCTGCATTTTGGTGAAATGTAGCAATAATCATTGTATAATTCTTTATGTTATTAAGTATTCTGCTGAATTCGGTTCTCACTTGAGATATGTCTCAAGATATAAATAACTGACTGCTTCAACTGTTCTCATGGTAATTTTTTAATTAACTTGGTTATTGCTAATGTGTTTGTTATGGAAGTGAAAGCACTGAGGAACTTTATTCTAGGCATCAGAAGGTTATCAGGACTACAGAAGTTAGACTGCTAGCCATGCCTTACAGCTGCTGCGGTCTCACCTCCTGCACTCATCCTCTCTGCTACTTCAGCAGGTGTTACTGCACGTTCACATGAAGTTGAGGTTGAAACTAAGATTATAAAAAATATTCCTGTTACTGAAATTTATTCCAAATATTTTAGAACCTTTTCTTCTTTTTATGAAGTCTCTGGTGGTTTGACATAATTGATTTCTGTTGATCTCCGAGTAACTCTAGGCTAATCCACAAATAAAAATATAACATTCTCTTTGTTACACGTGCCCTTATCTATCTGATTATAACATTACCTGGTAGAAGCTACCCTTTAGAATAGGGCAGAATACTTCTTCCTACTTGACGTGTTCTCCTGACTTCGTTTAGGCTCTTATTTCTTGCTTGGAAAAGCTTGCTAATGGGTTATCCTGCCTCAGTTTCATTCTGTGTCCTCTAAGCTGTCTTCTACAGTGCGTACATGAAATAGGGCTATGACACTCTCCAATGGCAAGACCTTGAGTTGTCAGTTGCTGCCTGGAAACCAGATCTGAGGTTTCTGAGTGTGGCCCCATCCTGTGGCCGGTGCTGTTCCTGGGGCCTCGTCTTCATCTTAGCCACATGCTGCTGCTTATAGCTCATGACAAACACATGACATGAAAGGCTTCCTTGCTTTTAATTCATTCTGAATGTAGTGCTCTTGTCCTGTCTTTTAAGACTGGGCCCTGGTTGCTGATCTTCTGAGGAACTCCCCTTGGCCGTCCCTGAGGCGGTCCAGTCGTCCCACGCCCGCCCTGCGCCCGCACCACCCCACGCCCACATCCTGCTGCTGTGAAAGGGTTTGTCACCACGCATGGCAATCACTTGCTTATTTGACATTTCCCTGCTAGACTAAGCTTCTTCAAAGTCGAGATTTTTGTCTTTTTATCATCAGCACCCAGAATGCTAGGCACTCAAATGTTTGTTGACTTTGTTAATGAGTAAATTACTCCTCCAACTTTCCTTGTGATCTTAAAGAAATCTCCTGATTTGTTAGTGCTTCAGTTCGCTCACTTCAGAGCGGGCAGCTGATGAGATGGGCGTTGAGACACTGAGGATGTCACGTGCCTGCAGGGTCTGAGGCAGCTCTCTTCCTCCAGGAGAAGGGATCTGGTCCAGTTTTCTTCTGCTTTTCTTACTTTTTTTTTGGATCCTGTCGCTGTGCTCCCAGTCATAGTTCGTTTCTGTGAAGATGTTACCAGAATTCTTTGGGAGGCATGTCACTTGATTTCTAAGTGAATTGTTAATATATGAAGATTAATTGGGCTGTTCCAAGAAAAAAAATCTCCATTTGTAGATGTATTTATTGATTGATATACTTATCTAAACAATAGTGTAGTTCACTATTTAACAGATTACAATCTGTGCCTTCTTTGTCCTTCGAGGTGCTTAATTGACTTGTGTGCTCTGTCCACACTGCACAGAGGCAGAGAACTACCTTGGTACCCTCCTCCTGCACGACCCCACGGTAGTCCTGCTGCTGCAGGTGCGATGTTCGACCTGCACAGGTGACAGGTCACACCAAGTCTTCCTCTGAGTCATTTCAGCTCTGTTCCAGGCTGGTTCTCCTCAGTGTGTTTCTTTGAGTATAAAAGTTCACATCGGTTTCTGCTAACTGGTGGGAACAGTTGAATAGTGATGAAGTGGCTACCTCAGGAGAACAATTTATGGGTTTTATGTCAGTATGGAGTAGAACAGTTTGCACTAAGAACTGCAGTCTTTCCTCTACCTCGACAGAGCTCTGCACTGACTATCTTTCCGACCATGATGATGCGTGAGCCAGGGCCACATGCCCACCTGCAGGCGGCCGAGCTCACAGACCCCATTTGTGTGCCCTCTGTAGCTTGTTTTCAAGTGAGTGTTCTCTGTACCCTTCAGGTGTCTATTTTTCCATTTATTTTTGTTTTCGTCATTCTTTATATTTTGCCCTTAGCCTTAAATGTAATCAATCTCAATCTTCTAGAATATGTATCAGAACACAGAGAGATGGGAGAAATACTGACAGCAAAAGAATATTGATTTTTAGGGTTGATTAAACTCTTTTCCAGGCTACAAAAGCCTCGCAGGTCACAGTTTTAAGACATTACATTTCAACCCCATTGCAGCCCCTATATCTGATTACCAAAAGATCGTTTGTCTCTGTCCATTAACTAAGCTTATTCAGCCTGTATTTGATATAGCAATGTGGAACAAAATACTGTAGTATCATTTGTTCTTTCAGTGTTTCTAATGATCAGTAATGCTGTGAGCAACTTCTTTTGTAGTTTAAACTACTGGCTGCTGTATATCCAGAGACTAAGATAAGTGTGAGTAAGAAGTGTAATACTTTGGGGGGAAACAAAGATCTGTCTTTATCCAAAATTGGGCATCTTTGTGTTTAAAAAAAAAAAAGATGCATTTTTTAGCTTTTGACTTGAATTTTTGTCTAACTAGATTTTAGTCTGACCTTTCCCAAGGTATCTCCTGTTTCCTCTCTTTCTTATCAAAACCATTTTATAAAAGAAATTAAATCAAGTAGTTGAGAGGAGGGAGGGATTAGCTACTCAGGTGAGGTAGAGAATAGCTTGGATATAAATTACAGATTGTTGTCTTATAATGCTTTCCTCATTTTTCTTAAAGCTGTAATTTCTTTCTTTTTAGAAGCAGAGTAGAGGGTCCCCTATGAAATTATAGAACAGTGGAGACTTAGAAGGAGAGCTAGTTCATCTCCATGTCCCTGCACATAAGTGCCCAACTCACTCCAGTGAGATTTTTTATTTTCTTTTTTTAGAATTTAAAAAAGAAGATCAATATTCTGCCCTAGAAATGTATTGAATGTTTGTCAGTCTTTACTATTAGGATATCTTTCTGTCATAAGTTTGCTTGTGTAATGAATATTATATTTTTTAGTATCTTATTATTGTTAAGGTTACCCTAAAATACTTTCTAATTTTAGCTTTATAAAGAAAATATTTATTTTTAACATGTGTTATTTATGCTGCTTTAATTATTGGACTATAATCCAGTTTTGTCTTTTTGGGATATGGCCTGGCTAGTGAGCCGTAGCTCTGCCCCCGTCTCGTCGGACAGCAGTGTGGAAGCCGGCGCTGGGGCGGCCACAGCTCTGCTGCCCGTGGCCGTTCTCCTGGAAACCGCTTTAGAAAACCTTAGAGTACCAATTTTTGAGTATTTTCTTTTTATTACAAAAATAAAATATGAGGGGTGGTGGTTAGTAAATAGTTTATGTTTTATTTAACTGGGGTTGTGCTATAATTAGCACTTATTCTTCATGCTGTAGTTGAAGCCGAATTCTTTTTCATCTTTTTTGGCTCTTGCGATACACGCCAAGGTCACCCTCTTCTGTATGAAAGCCCTCTGGATCTTCAGTGCCCGGGCGGTGGGATGCGGTAGAGGGCTGCTCCAAGTCCCGGGGGGGTGTGCAGACTAGTACACATTTCCTACATTTTAAAGCGAAGCCCAGTGTATTTCTAGAGGATAGCCAGTTTCTTCATCTGTGAAGTGAGGACAGGGCGGCCCCACGTAGAAGGGTCCGTGTGGAACAGAGGACACAGTGCCTGTGAGGACGTCCCTCTGACGAGCTTCTCGGAACCCCCTTGGACTAGCGCACTGTCCCTGATGGAGCGAGCGCTCAGGAGCTGTGTGCTGCACATGGACCTGCTGTGGAGCACAGATTGCTGTTTGTTTCTTCCCACAGTTTTCAGCACTGATTGATACCTTTTTGACTTTACCCATGGGGCTCTGAAAATAAGCAGATATCCAGGTCTCAGCCATGAAGTTTGTCCTGCCTATGAAGTTTCTGATCCAGCAGTTTAGGGTGAATGCTGGAAATCAGTATTTTTTGGAAATTCTATCAACAATTTTAAATATGACATTTTAATAAAATAAATATGATGTGACATATAATCAGAGTTAAGATTTTGGTTCATACTAAACTTATATTAGTAGTATTTACATGTATTGAATGATTTTGTTTCATTGATTTATTCAGCAAACATTAAGTGCCATCTGTGCAGTAGTGAACTAGGCAAGTACTGTCCCTGCTTTTGCAGAGTTTATGTTCTGTTGGGAAAGGAAACACGCTTCTAAAAGGTGTACCCAGCTCTATGAATCCTGCCGGCAGCCCTGTGAAAGCGGTGGCGCTGTTTGCTCTGCGTTCTGGCTGGGAAGCGGCGCTGCAGAAAGTTTAGCCCTTGTCAGGCCGCACAGCGGGGAGGTGTCGGAGCTGGCTGTGGGCGCAGGTCTTCCGACCGAGACCAGTGCCGACTGTTCTGTTGTGCTCCTTTCTCATAACTTTTAGTTATCCACTGCCTGGCTCTTTGATGTTTACTACATTTATTGGGCTTCTGGCATTTATTTTATACTGCTTTAAGCTTAGTTTTCATTTTTTTCTGGTTATATTTATACTTTACTAGTTGTGGTACAGTTGTCTCCCCTTATCTACATGGTATAAATTCCAGGACCTCAAATCAATACCTAAACCACTGATAGTACCAAACCCTACTCATACTATGCTTTTTTGTCTATACATACATATACTCTATGGCTTTTCTTTGGCATATCCAAATTGCCAGCATCACTACTATCATACCTTGGTGTTATTATTAAGTAAAGGGAGGACTACTTGAACAGTGGTCAGTCTGATAGCCCAGAAGGTAGCGTCTACAGCACGGCACAGTGGGCAAAGGGACGTCCCGTCCTGGGGGAAGGAGCAGGACAAAGCGAGATTGCACCCTACTCCTCACCATGGCGTCTGATGGGAAACCCAGGCCTGCTTCATCTCTGGAGTTTTCCATCTAATATTTTCAGACCATGATTGACTGGGTAGCTGAAGTGGAGGAGAGCAAAACTGCAGATAAGGGGGCTACTGCATGTTGGGAAGAACCATGACTCTGACTTTTAAGTTCTGCGTATGGCTTTTGTGACTCCAAGACCTTATTAACATAAGATGTTAATTATTCAACATCTCTGAGACTCATTTTCTTAATTTATTAAAATGAAAATAGTATTAGTCATCTTGCAAGTTGTTGTGAGCATGTATGTAGTGAAATAAGCTATATCAAAGAGTCTAGTACTATGCAAAGCAAACAGTTAAGGTCAGCAATGCTCGGTTCCATTTTAAAAAGCTTTTGTCTACCAAGTTGCTGGCTAAACCATTACATTCATGATAATGTTTTCCCTTTTATTATATAATTATTGATTTTTTAGTCAATATATTTTGAAGTTTAGTACCTCTTTGAACCAAGCTGAAACTTTTTTAAGTGATCATGGCTATGTAGTCAATTTTGAACACCTGGATTATTACTTTATGGTCTTTAATAAAGTGTTAATTAGTCTTAATGTACTAAGGAGGGAAGGAAGGGAACATTCAAAGGGGACCAAATCCAAGCTCTTCAGAAACATGTAGCCTAAGATGTCATTGGAACCATCTCTTCTCCATTTGTCAGGAATGTCATGTAGAACAGAATCAAAACCTTGCCTGAGGCAACATGGCAAATCCTTCTGTTTGTAGCATTGCTTTTCAGTTCTGACACGGTTTCATAGAAAGAGGTTAAGTTCTTTGCCAAGACTTGTTAACATGATTTATGCCACGCTGGGTGCTGTCACTAAACAAACTCCCTAATGTGCGTACCCCTGCGCTTGGAGACACGCTGCGCAGGCTGCTGAGCACAATTTCATGTGCAGAAGCTCTGATTACTGCCTGATATGCTTCTTTTTCTTTCTCCCTAGGTCAGTAAAATTGTGTCAAATGTTCCCCAGTTGGAGTTCCTAAACCTGAGTTCCAACCCTCTGAATTTGTCGGTTTTAGAAAGAACATGCGCTGGGTCCTTCTCTGGGGTTCGCAAACTTGTCCTCAATAACAGCAAAGCTTCTTGGGAGACAGTCCACACGATACTGCAGGAGTTACCAGAGTAAGCCGGAGGGCATGGTGGAGAGGGTGTGTGGACATCTGTGTCAGTGCGCAGATTCACCGCGGAGTTGCCACCACGGAAACACTGGTGCTGCAGACACCACGGAGACGGTGTGAAGATGCAGTGGTGCAAGGAGGGCGTGAGTGCGATGCAGCAGCATCTCCCTGGGTGCTTGCTGCTGTGGAGTGGCACCGCGCAGCAGCGTCTCCCTGGGTGTGTGCTGCTGTTGAGTGGCACCGCGCAGCAGCGTCTCCCTGGGTGCGTGCTGCTGTTGAGTGGCACTGCGCAGCAGGCCAATCATTCTCAGGCTAGAAAGTATCCCTGAGAAGCAGTTATCATTTGTAGATCAGCCCAACCTTTCTTCATTTTAATCTTCTGATTACCTGACTTCAGAATTTTGCTTCAGCCCTTTTCTTTTGGAGGAAAAAATAATCACAATATCTCCAAAATATATTAACATTCAGATGATTAAGTACATAGCTGGCCTCATTGGAAATGAACCTGGTATTCTTTTCAATAATTTAAGCAAGAGCCCAGCCTGTATGGCTCAGTGGTTGAGCATCGACCCATGCTCCAAGAGGTTGCCAGTTCGATTCCTGGTCAGCGCCCATGCCCAGGTTGTGGGCCCAATCCTCAGTGGGGGGCATGTGGGAGGCAGCCAATCGATGTTCTCTCTCATCCATGTTTCTATCTCTCTCCCCCTCCTTTCCTCTCTCTCTAAAACAATAAAGAAAAAAATAAGCAAGAAATTATATTATTGTCAGTTTCAAAATGCTTTGTTATGTTTGTATGTATCTTTGGATATGCATCAATGTTCAAAGTAAGTAGTTTAAAGAAATGTATGAAGCTGTAGATGTCTTGACTGATAACATGATAATTATCAATTGAGTCTCAGCCCACTTGGGCCAGCGTGGTTTTCCACTGTCACCCTGATGAGACTGGTTTCCTCACACCTGCAACATCCCGGCAGAGAATGGGCTTTGAATCCCAGTTCCACTTTGTAGTCACAGGACCTCTGATGAGCTGCTGGCGCTCTCTGAGCTGTATCCCTCAAGCATCATTGTGTCCACCTGCAGGAGGAGGAGTGCAGTCTCTGAAACACCTGGCACAGGCCTGTCACAGGGGTGGGATTCAGGAAATGGAGTTGCTGTTTCTGTTCTAAACATTTGTTCATGTTGTTTCTGGAATTTTTCATCTTTCCTCAACTTATGCCAGTCTGCCCCTCCTTCAAGGTTATGCATGCTTTCTGATTATTCTAACTACAATTTAATTTTATTCCTATATGAAATACTACTGTACTTACAATTAGTACTGCTTAATTAAGCACAAAATTAATTTAGCACTGGGTTGTATCTTTCTCTGCTGTATTCCCAGCTGTATTTTAAGCACCAGGAAGACATCTGTATATTTTCTCTACAACACCTAGCTGAGTCTCACATATAATAGGCACTTATTTCTTGAATGAATGAAAATAGGTGCAAAGTACAAAATTAACTGCTTTAAACAATGAAATATTTCCGTTTTTCTCTGCAGTTTGGAGGAGCTCTTCCTGTGCCTTAATGACTATGAAACAGTGTCTTGTCCTTCTATTTGCTGTCAGTCTCTGAAGCTCCTGCACATCACAGACAACAACCTGCAAGACTGGACTGAGATCCGGAAGTTGGGAGCTATGTTCCCTTCGCTGGACACACTCGTGCTGGCCAACAACCACTTGCACGCTATCGAGGAGCCTGACGACTCCCTGGCCAGGTTGTTCCCTAACCTGCGGTCCATCAGCCTCCACAAGTCAGGTGAGGTGTGGCTGGCCTCCTGCGCGCAGTGACCTGAGCTCGTGCATGAAGTGAGTGGATGTGTTTCTCTCAGTCAGTCTGCCATCTTAGAGGGTGTGTCTGAAGAGCGGCATGCAGATGCCTTGGCATCCATTTCCGTGAGCCGAGTGGCGTGGCATTGTGTTAGCTGTTTACCTTTGATGTGAGAGGGCCATGCTGTGAAAGGAGTGAGGCTGGTTAGCCGTGTAGCGAACGGAAGAGCAAGAAACACAAGGAATTGGAGACTAGACCATTTGTCTGGACCTAGGCCAGGGCCAACCCGCTCTGCCTTCCAAACGTGCCTTCTTTCCTGGTGCTTACAGGGAGGTGAGTGCCAGTCTGTCGCCATCCGATTCCGTGTATCACAGCAGTGACTGTTTTTAGCCTCTTTTGAAAAATTAATAAACTTTATTTTTTAGAACAGTTTTAGAGTCACAGCAAAATTGAGCAGAAGATACAGAAGTTTCGGCATGCTCCCTGCCTTCACACATGCACAGCCTCCCCCATCCACGTCCCACCCCCAAAGCGGACCACTTGTCACAGTAGATGAGCCCGTAGCTCACGTTAGGGCCACTCTTGGTGGTGTTCATGTCATAGGAAGACTCATGATGACACGTTTCTGCCACCGGGGTGTGATGTAACAGCTTCACTGCTCCCACACTCCTCGGTGCTCCGCCCGTTCCCCCTCCCTCCGCAGGCCCGCAGCCACTGCTCTTCTCACTGCCCCGTAGTGCGCCTTTGCCAAACGTCGTGTAGTCGGAATCACAGTGTGTAGCCTTTTCAGATTAGTTTCTTTCACTTAATACTTTGCATTTAAGTTTCCTTCATGTCTTTTTATGACTTGATAGCTTATTTATTTTTAGCACTTATATTCCATAAGGCTCAACAGTGCTAGTCTGTTGTCTGGAGGGACCACAGTTTATTCATCCACTCATAAGCCGAAGTACGTCTTGGTTGCTTCCAGGTTTTAGCAGATATGAGTAAAGCTGCTGTGAAGCTCTGTGTGCAGAGCTTTTGTGCAGACAGAAGCCAGGGAGGATAATTGCTAGATCATATGGGAAGAGTATGTTTAGTTTTGTAAGAAGCTGCCAAACCATCTTCCAAAGTGGCTGTGACATTTTGCACAGCAGTGCGGAGAGCCCCCTGCCCCACGCCCTCATCAGCTGTCGGCGCCAGTGTTCTGGGTCCACGTTCGAGTGCGTCTGCAGTGTGCCTCGCTGCGCCTCATGTCGCCCGTCCGCCAGTCCTTGCTGGCACGTGATGTTGAGTGTCTTCCGTATGCTCACTGCCGTCAGTGCATGTCCTTTGGTGAGATGTTCGTTCAGGTCTTTTGCCCATTTCTAATCAGATTGTTCATTTTCTTGTTGAGTTTTAAGAGTCTCTGTGTGTTTTGGGTAACAATCCTTTATCAGATGTGTTTGTAGCACAGAGATTCATTCTCCCAGTCTATGGCTTTTCTTCTTGTTCTCTTGACATTGTCTTTCAGCCTATTTCTTAAAACAACTACTTAACTAAAAACAACTAACCTACAACTGAAAAAACATAAACAGTTGAATTTACCATATAGGTTATAAGGCTGGAAACCAAGTTTTAAAAACTAATATTTTGGGTGCAGAGCTGTTTGTTTCATAGCTCCACACCCCTCGAGCTAACTGTGTTCCCTGCTGGATGGAAATGCGTCCTGAAGGGACGAGGCTGTGACTTGGGACAGCTGTGACCCCAGCCCTCACCGATGCGCCTCTGCCTTTACCACTGCTAGAGGGTGACAGGAACAGGGAGGGACCAGGTTCTCTGACATGGATTCAGCGTGGTGCAGATTGACCGGTTGACACGGATGACGCACGCGCTCGTTGCCGCAGGAAGGGTTTGACTGGGGACAGAGTGAACTTAATTTGTTGCATGTTCTTACCCAGAGGTTCAGATTCTTGTTTTGTTTGCTTTAAATTTTGAATCTTTCCCTGTCCCCCAAATGAGGACAGTATGAAAGAGAGGTCATGTTTAGTTTCTGGTTCTGTTGACCTTGCCCCACTTTAGAATTTGCTGGGTAGAAATTTGAGTCTGACAGTATCAAGTCTGATTAATAGTTATGTTCTGTGACTCTGTATTTGATGAGAGAGTCATTGGTCATGTCACCATTTTCTGTAATTATGACATGCACCCTGCTTGTTGAAATCACATTGACTCCTTCTGCAAGCCCCTGGGGTGATGAGCTGGAACATGAGTGGACGCCGGAGAGTAAAGGTCTCTTCTTGACCCCGGGGATCCCCGGGATCGGAGAGACTGGAGGAACATTTTTATGCTGTTTAAGTGTATTCTTTTTTTCCTTGGATTAAAAAATTTTTAGAATAACTAGTTTACAGTTCTTTTAACATTTCATGTATTATTAGTTGAAGTTTTTTGTTTTTGTATTTTTCTGTATCTTCTTATTTGTACACTTCTCTGGATTTATTTAAAAAATATGTTTTTCAAATTAGGTTTGCAGTCCTGGGAAGACATTGACAAACTCAATTCATTCCCCAAACTTGAAGAAGTGAGGTTGTTAGGGATTCCTCTTCTGCAGCCGTACACCACCGAGGAGCGCAGGAAGTTGGTGATAGCAAGGTATGTCTGTCATCCGCTTCCTCTGCTGCCTCCTCGGGGCCTTGTTCCCTTCACGGAGTGAGGCCCTGTGCAGGAGGGACTGCGTTTTGCACTGGTCCGGCTCGCGACAGACTGCTGGACGGGGCTGCTTGAAGTCCTGGAAGGAAAGGAACGCCATCAGCCAGGACGTGATAGGCCTGCCAAGACTCTGCAGAATCTCCTACCAGATCTATTCTGTTTTTATACTTTTGGATATTTATAATATTTGAAATTTTATTTTGGGTCATGAAGTGAAAGTTGGTACAATCAGTTGTCCTTATTTTCTCTGTTAACATAGTGGTCATTTAATACCACATGATCTCACTTATTTGTGGAATATAATGAACAAAACAAGCTGATGAACAAAACAGACCCAGAGACATAGAAGTAGGGTACAGATTGACAAACCTCAGGAGAGGGGGACAAGCAGGGGGAGGGGAGAGATAAACCACAGAACTTACATGCATGTATGCGTAATCATGGACGTAGAAAACAATTCTGGGGACAGTGGTGGGGTGGGGCAGGATGGGGAGGAAGGTGTCAATAGAGGAAAAAGGAGAAACATCTGTAACAAAAATTAATTTAAAAAAAACAACACAAAACATAGTGGTCATTTAAAGTGTTAATACCCCCGCCCTGGCCGGTTTGGCTCAGCGGTTAGAGCGTCAGCCTGCGGTCCACAGAGACCCGGGTTCGGTTCCCGCTAAGGGCATGTACCTTGGCTGCAGTTTGTCCCTGGCCCTGGTTGGGTTGTGTGGGTGGCGGGCACTCGATGTGACCCTTTCACATCGATGTTTCTCTCTCTTCCTCTCTCTCCTTCCCGCTCTATCTGAGTAGAAAATGGAAAAATGTCCTCAGATGAGGATAAAAAACAAAAAAAATTAAGTGTTAATACCCCAAAATCAGGCTGTTTCATTAAGTGTAAAACATAAGAGAACAGCAACTGCATTTTCTTCTTATTATATAATCAACTTAGATATGATGACTGTATTGTCTTCCTTTGACCCCTGGCTTCCCTGTCTCGAGGCCCAGAGGCTACTGAAACGATCCGTGGGTGTTTATTTCTGCATGTGCCGTTAGCAGCACTGACACTCAGCTAAGCTGTGAAAGGCCATGGGACTTTGGTTTGTACTCTTTGTGTGCTGCACACAGTGGTTTTGAAAAGGGAACAGTAGGCTTTAAGGTTCTGTCAAAGAGAGTGATTATTAAACAGGGTGGTTGGTGGTCTTTCTGGCCACCTGACACCTAGCAGGTCTTCACTGCTGTCCAGCTGTGGGCATGCACATTAATATTTCACTGGAGAAATAAGTTTAGCACACTTTTCTTCTCAGAAGAAGTCTTGCTATGTTTTTATTGTGTATTTTATTTTTTACATAGTTCTTTTGTAAATTTAATAAAGTAAATCCTGAAGTTATATAACCACATTGTACTGACTAGTCTATAGACTTATGCTGTCCAATTTGGTACCACTAGCCATGTGTGACTTCTTTTTAAAATATGGCTGCTAGACAGTGCAGATTACATGTGTGGCTTGCATTATGTTTCAGTTGGACAGTGCCACCTAGAATCCTATTTTGAAAAGTGAGTTATGATTATAAAAGGTCAGTGTCTCATCCAAAAATGAAACTAACTATTGGTCCTTCTATTTCATACCACTTTAGTTTCTGTCGTGACTGTTCACAAGCAGAGCTGTATCAAAGGTGTCCTTTCAAGGGAGTAAGACTGAGCCTCAAACCAATAATTTTATTTCCAAAGCTAAATATTTGTAATAGCTAACATGTTCTTATTTTGTATTTACTTACAGATTGCCATCAGTTTCCAAACTCAATGGCAGTGTTGTTACCGAGGACGAGCGAGAAGACTCCGAGAGGTTCTTCATTCGTTATCATGTGCAGGTTCCGCAGGAGGAAGTGCCGTGCAGGTAAAGTCCCTCGTCAGTCAGCGAGTTCTCTGAGACCATCTAAAACCATCTTGGTAGAGCAAAATCTAGTAATTTATCATTGGACCCTCTTAGAGGATATTGGTGATAGATTAAAAACAAACACATTAGCAAACCAACTTTATCTCATTTTCCACAGTGTATTTCTTCCACCTGCCCTGGGTAAGTCTTTGACTGCGTCTAGCATTCCCACTCCATCCTCCAGCCATCGGCTGCTGTCTGGCCCCTCCTGCGGGCACGTTTCCCCTGAGCCACGGGCTTTCCCTGCACTGCGTCTGCTCTCGGCAGCTGAGTCCTGCAGTTCAGAAGGTCTGGCAAATGTGTGCTAGGTTTTGAGAATATGAGGAAAGGGCTGGAAACAGACTTCTGGAAATGTTACAGGAATGTAGTGTGACTGAGTATGAAGAGAAATGCTGAGGGCTAAAGTAGTAAGTACCTTTAAGTATATGAAGAGTTAATATATATTGTTAGTGATGAACTACCTTTAGTACTGTTTAAATATAAAAGGAAATGAGACAGGTAGGATATAGGTAATATACATATATAAAATTCCCCAAACAGGTTTCTAGGTGTTGGTAACTACATTCAGTTACCCGGAAGTTGTATACTTTTCTTAATGACTAAGAATCATGTGAGTCCTATTTAACATGAGGAGTTTCAGACAAACGATACAGATTAGGACTGAAGGTGTCAAATCACTTGATCTTTCTGGTTAGAAATTTCTGTGATTCAAATTAATCCACTTTTTACAAAGTTCTCTATTATTTAAATAGGTCAGCATTCTGTACAGCTCAATAAGTGCTGAACAAAAATATTTTGTCACATCATTAATAGAATTACAAAGCCTAAGCATTTAAAAAATATGAGACAAATTAAGTAAGGATTTAAAAGGTAACCTTTTAAAATTAGTGAAGCCTTTGCCAGTTGGTTCATTTGGTTGGGTGTAATCCCTACACCAAAAGTGTGCTGGTTGGATTCCCAGTCAGGGCACACACCTAGGTTGTGGGCTCAGTCCCTGGAAGGGGCGCATAAAGGAGGCGACCAGTCAATGTTTCTCACATCATGTTTCTCCGTCTCTAAAATGGAAAAAAAAAAAATCGTCAGATGGGGATTTAAATAAATACATAAAATTAGCTAAGAATAACCAGGATTAAATAAATAAAGTAAAATAAAATTAGCTAGGAATAGCCAGTTAGAGAGAAATAGATATTACCATGCCTTTTAATACAGCTGAACTAATAAGCGAAATAGAGGCAGACTCCTAGACAGAGAGTGGGCTGACAGCTGTCAGGGCGAGGCTGTTGGGGTCTGGTGGGGAGGTGGAGGGGTTAAGGAAGAAACTCATGAATGCAGATGACAGTGTGACTGCCGGGCGGCGGGGAGGAAGGGGAGATGGCACAGGTATGGGGCGGGTTAAATAGTGATGGAAGGAGACTTAGCTTGGGGCGGTGTACGCAGTGCAGTGTACTGATGCTGTGTGTGGGCCTGTGCACCTGACATCTGTGTGCTTGGTTGACCAGTGTCACCCCAATAAATTCAATAAAGGAAAAACAATAGAAGGTAACCTTTTAAAATTAGCTAAGAATGGCCAGGTAGATAGAAATAGATATTGCCATGCCTTTTAATGCAGCCCAGAAATATTAGGTTACACTGTGTAGAAATTTTTTTTTTTTTAGGTAAAAAAATGGTCTCATATCTATAGCTTCATTTGATTCAACTAACATTAATGAAAGAAGTAAATATTCTAACTTTGAGGCAGTCTTCCATTATAGTTTGCTTACTTCCAGTCTGCTGCAAGAAGTAGTGTTCTCTGTCCCTGATGACATTAAGTATCCTAAAGGACATTTATGTCTCTGTACTAGTCTCTGTTCTTGAATAAAGGTCTTAGAAATCATCTTTAATCAATGGAATAATTTATTGGAAGGATACTGAGAAACTACAAGGATTGTCAGGCAGGCTGTGGACTTGGCTTAGACAGGAACCGAGGGAGGCAAGGATAGCCAAGGTTTCAACTCATGGTTTGTTTTATATATCACTGCTGGCCCTGTCTCATCTGGACACTGCAGTGCTGGACTTTACCACTGGACACCTGCAGCTCTGTCATGGATTTTGACTTTCTCCCTAAGTAATGACAGTAATCTCACACTGACCTTTGCTTCATTCTCTCAGGGTCAAAATTATGCATCTGACCGATTAGTGAGCTCTCTTCAAGGCATTTGCTCACAATCTGTTTCTCAAGAGATAGGGAGAGGGATTATCAGCTCTCTGCTCCACTTTGGCTTTGCAGTGAGGTAGATCTTGGAACTTTTCCCTAAATAGGAAAAATTCATCAAAGATCATCTGTTATACTCTGATACGTTGATTACCCAACATCTATACATACATCTTTCCCCCACAGTTACATTTAAAGAATTTATTTTTACCTGCTTTCATATGTTCTTATATAAATGAAAACACATTTTACTTTCCCTGAAATTAAATAACCCATTTATCCTGATCCTGAGCTCTCTGGGCTTGATTAGCTGCATGCAGTCAGGCCATTTTACTTACCCTCTGAAGATCCAAGACAGCGGCAGAGCAGGTGGAAGGCATATTCACTCCCCCCAGTCCCAAACTGTAATTGTAACTAAATGAGAGAACAGTCAGTCTAATAACCAACTGAAAACTAGCTGAAGAGAAGTCTCATAACCAAGGATTTACAGAAGAAGCCACATTGAGACTGGGAGGAAGGGCAGACACCCATAAGGTTGAGAATTGGGAGGAATAGCTCATCTGCAAAGGTCCCCCTGAGGAGTAGCAGGTCTCATCCTCACTCTGGCCTTCCAATCCAAGACAACTAATGCTGGGAAGAGGAGCCCACATAATATCTAGCTGTGAAAATCAGCAGGGATTTTGTCGGCCAGGGTGAGATTGGAGTCTGTTAGAAAACCAGGTGCCTTCTTAAAGCACCAGCACACAAAATCTTATTCACGGCCCCTCACCGTGTGCTCCAGCAGATGGAGTTATTCAAGGAGAGATTGGGCTGTGTGTCTTTTAGGAAAGGGCTAGGGAGACAGCTGCCATTGTCCCGGTGCTGAGTCCCTCTCCCACATGGCTCACAGGCACCATCTTTCCTGGGTCAAGCACTCTGCTTCCATGCACGTCATTCTGGGTGGATGCACTGGCTTCATACTCCTGACTGCCGGTGGCCCCACCCTGCCAAGCTTGGTTCCTGCACAAGAGTTTTCTGGCTGGCTGGCTGCAGTCAGCCTAGGCCTATGCTACAGACTTTAATGGAAGGCTCTAAGGAGGTTCATGTCCCCACCCACTCATCGCCCACCACATGCCCATTCTGGCATCACCATTCCTGTCCAGATCCCTTCCTCCACAACCCAATCTTGGTCTGTTTTAGCTTCATGAATTCTACTGACCTTATCCTGAAATCTCCCTGAGACCACAAAGGTCTGAAGGCTTCAGGTGGTGGCATCTGGCCTTGGTGTACCCTGGGACTTTGGCTGAGTGGTCTCAGACCCAGCATTGGCACCAGGATTGAATCTGTATCAACCTGGTGAACATCACTCACTCCCACCTGATGACTCGCTGAGAACCTACCTCACACAACTTGCATATTGTCAGTGGCTCCTTCAGTGACTAAGCCTAACAGGTGGTCCACAGGTATCTCTATGTGCCTTGGCCCTTTTACTGACCCATCCCCAGGCTTGGTACCACATTAGAGCATGACCCAATTAGCTTCACAAGTGTAACACCTACAGGGAGATCTCGGCAGGCAACAGACCCTACTGGGGCTAATTCTTCTTGGGGTCCACTTTTTCTGGGGTGCATGCAGGACGCAACCAATCAATGTGTCTCTTTCACATCGATGTTTCTTCCCCTCCCTTTCCCCATCCCTTTTCTCCTCCCTTCCCCTCTTTCTAAAAATCCTTGGTGAGGATCAACAAAATAAATTAAAATAAAGATATAGTAAGCATATAAAAGGACATAGAAACCACAAAAAAGAACCAGTCAGAAATGAAGAACAGCATCTGAAATGAAAACTAAGCTGGAAGGCATGAGCAGCAGATTAGATGAAGCAGAGGATCAAATCAGTGATTTGAAAGACAAGGCAGCAGAAAACACCCAATCAGAGAAGCAAAAAGATGAAAAAAAATTTTTTAATGAGGATACTTTAAGGGACCTCTGGGACAACATGAAATATAACAATATCCACATCACCGGGGTACCAGAAGGAGAGAGAGCAAGGGATAGAGAAACTGTTTGAAGAAATAACGACTAAAACTTCTCTAATCTGGTAAAGAAAAGACACAAGTCCAGGAAGCACAAAGAGCCCCGAGAAAAAACGTTGTCTACAAAGGAGCTCCTAGACTGTCAGCTTGTTTCTCAACAGAAACATTTCAGGCCAGAAGGGATTGGCATGAAACATTCAAAGTGATGGAAAGAAAGGACCTATAACTAAGACTACAGAGCAAGGCTGTTATTTAAAATTGAAAGAAAAAAAGAACTTCCCAGCCTGGCCAGTGTGTCTCAGTGGATTAAGTGTTGTCCCATGGACTGAGAGGTCCTGGTTTGATTCCCAGTTGGGGCACATGCCAGGGTTGCAGGCTCAATTCCCAGGAAGAGGCATGCAGGAGGCAACCAGTCAATGTTTCTGTCTCACATTGATGTTTCTATCTCTCTCTCCCTTTCTCTCTCTAAGAAAATAAATAAAAACACATTAGAAAAAGTTAAAGTTAAAAAACAAAAAACACACAAAATCTTCTCAGACAGGAAAAAGCTAAAGGAGTTTATTACCACCAAACCAGTACTACAAGAAAAGTTAAAGAAACTTCTTTATAAATAACAATAGGAGTCCACCTGGCGTGTCTCAGTGGTTGAGCGTTGACCTATGCACCAGGAGGTTGCCGGTTTGATTCCCGGTCAGGACACATGCCCAGGTTGTGGGCCTCATCCCCAGTGCGGGCATGCAGGAGGCGGCCACTCGATGT